ATGAGCCCAGGGTCCCAGCTTGCAGGATCCACGACTGAACTATGCCGTGGGTGGTCGGCCCAGCTCTCGTGGCCAGCTCTCGCTCTTCATAGGCTCGAGGCCAAATCACGCCAAATTGTGGGGCGCACAGAGCCCGTACCCGCGCTTTTCGAGGTTCCAGCTCCAGGACCAGTTCTGACACTGAAATGCTGGAGGGAAACATGGAAACAGAGCGAGTCAGAAGGGGTCTCCCGGGCCATCTAGTCTGACCCCCGGCTCCAGCCGCCTCCCACCATGTGCATGCTCAGCCTGCCCTTGGGCACCCTCCCCGACGGGGCTCCGGCCACCTCCCACGGAAGCCCCTTCCAGGCACGTGCTGTTCATGTGTGGGAGCCAGCCTCATCCTTGGGCCCTCCCGTCAAGATGGGTGCCCAGCCCCCGGCCCCTCTGTGCGCCCAGGGCAGCCGGCAACGCCGGCAGCCGCCCCGGCCCCCTTCCCCGCAGCCCAGCAGCTGATCCGCCTGGCTGCCAGCCCCTTTCCCAGGCTTTGCCCTGCCTCCCCGCAGGAGAAGCGCTCTCCCTCGGTCAGCTGCTGAGCGGAGGCCAGCGCTTCTTCCTGCCTGCCTCGGTGCCCGGGGGCTACCTTGGCAGAGGGGGCGTCTTCTGTTCGCAGCGTCTTTTCTTCAGACAGAAAGCCGACGCTTCAAGGCACCCGGTCTGGGAAACGGGATTCCGATCTGAAACTGTCACTTTTCTCGTGGCGGCAGCAAGGCTTGTGCTGTGCCATGCAGTCCGTGAGCTTGGGCACAGGATTTGCAGCGGAAACCCGGGACGGCACCCCACAAAACGACCATTTGCTAGTCTGGAAAAGGACCACTCTTCTGTCTGGAAGACGTGGTGCTCGCAGCAGAATGCCGTAGGTCGTCCTCACCAAAGAGGGCTGCCCTTATGGAAGATTCTGCCTGCTCCAGGACACCCCCTTCCCAAGTCTGCCCCCCCCCCCCCAGTCATGCATTCCCCTTTTCCAGCTCAACATTTCCTGCCACTGAGCATGCCCAGTCCTCATCCGGCAGCTCTGGAGCACTGTGGGTCTTAGGCTTTCCCTCGAAAGATTCTTTTGTGTCCTTCCCATGGGGTGCTGCCCACGGATCCCCCCTCTGAATGACACCTCTTGGTTTCTCAGCCCCCCATTTTACGCCCCAAGTTGTTGGCCCTCAGCATGGGAGCTTGTCGGGGGTAGGAGTGGAGCTCTGCACCCAGCAGTTCTTTGTCTCGGGATTTTGGGGCTGTGCATCCCATTCAGTCCTGGCATTAAAAAGAGCTGCCTGGAGTTGACGGAGGGCAGGGGGGTCGCTGGCACGTTGGGGGCAGGTTTGTGCCCAGCTCGGGAGCAATGCTTTGGCCCTTTCACGAAGTTAACGTCTTCCCGGCGTAACGTGCTGCGTGATACTGCCCTGATGAGCAGTGCCTGCAATGCAGTGTTTTGCAAGTGAGTAAATGGATCTTTGAATGGAAGCCGGAAATATGATTAATGCGTGAATGATAAACATTTCGTATCTGTTTGGGAAGCTTAATTGTTGTTTCTTCCGCCTAAAGTGCTTCTCTTACAACTTCAAAGAGGCCTAATTAGGCTGGAATCAAATAATACTGCCTTTCGCCTCCAGCCGTCCGGTTGCTTTTTGTGGCAATGCGCTGTCGATTAGTCATCGGAGGAAGGTGAGTGCTCCGTCATTCGTTCGTTCGTTCGTTCGTTTGTTCATTCATTAAAAGCAGGAAAAAGCTGCCCGAAAGCCGCCGCTTCCTTTGCAGTGCCACGCTCGGCTGAAGTGGGCGCTTCGCGTCTTGCCCAAGGAGAGGTGGGCGGACGCGGGGAGAGGCGGGGTGCAGGCTAGAGGGGCTCCCCCAAACATTTCCTGCTCGCTCTCCATGAGCCTCCCCCAGCCTGGCCTTGGACTGCAGCCCCCATCCTCCTCAGCCAGCGTGCACAGTGGGGAAGAACACGGGCGGCCGTGGGGCAGGCGGTCCTCGTGCCGGCCCCCATAGCCAGAGGGCCCAGGAGTGTGGGGATCTGCGGATCCTAGCCGCTTCCAGCCCCGGATTCTGGCAGCGCTTCTGTGAGTCAAGAAAGGGGGGGCGCTGCACGCCGGGAGCCCCGGACCAACCCCTCCAGCGAGTGCTCCGGGCACTGTCCTTCCCTGGCAGGCTGGAGGCGGGGGCTCGTGGCGGGGCCCGAGCGTGCCACGGCTGCAAGCTGCACGCCACAGGCGCCACGTTGCCCTCCTGCTCGCGCTCCCGGCAGCGGGGGCGCGGGTTGCACTGCCCCAGTCCTGGGGGTGGCACACGGTTGTCAGCTAGCGGCCATGGCGGCCTTCTCCCCCCTGGACTGAGGGAGGCAGGCTATTTGGGAGGGGCTCAGGCAGCGATGGGGGAGACGGACGTCCTTGCAAGGTCGAAGCGACGTGTGGCGTGGGCTGAGTTCCAGGGGCTTGACAGAAGCAAAGACGAGATGCTAATTAGCAGCACATCATTAAACTCAAAATCAGCGCTCTCGTCTTATCATGCTCTGGAGGCACCCGCTGCTTTGGCACAGGCAGGACGTCCAGCTTGCCGACGCAGTACAACCCGCTTTCCCCATTTCCTGCCTCTGTCTCTGGGCTTTCTCCGGGGCCAGGGAGCCGAGCGTCACCGGGCTTCAGGCGGGAGCAAGCCCCTCTGGCTTTTTGGAAGGAAATGCTGCGACTCCTCAGGTGCTGGCGGAGCCTGAATCAGGCTGGCTCTCCTTAGAAGCATCGAAGAGCTGAGTTGGGAGGGGCCACGAAGGCCATCAGGTCCACCCCCTGCTGCTGCAGGACACCAGTTCACACCATCCCACTCAGAGGGCTGCCCAGTTTCGCCCTGAATGTCTCCAGTGTGGGAGAGCCCCCCACCTCTCCGGGCAGCTGGTCCCACTGCCGTATTGCTCTGACCATGAGGAAGCTTTTTTTGATGTCCAGCCTGAATCTGGGTTGTTGCAACTTGACTTGATTATTCCGTGTCCTGCACTCCGGCATCATCAAGGAGGGATCTTGGCCTTCCTCTTTGTGGCAGCCTTTGAGAGACTTCTAGAGGGAGATCATGTCCCCCCTCAACCTTCTCTTCTCAAGGCTGGACATGCCCAGTTCCCCCAGTTCCTCACAGGGCAGTGCTTCCAACCCCTGGATCATTTTTCTTGCTCTCCGCTGGACCTGTTCTAATCTACCTGCCTCTTCCTTAAATCTTGGTGCCCAGAACTGGACACGGTATTCCAGGTGAGGCCTGACTAGTGAGGAGTATAGAGGAACTGCTATTTCTCGTGATTTGCAAGTAATACTTCTGTTAATGCATCCCAAAAGGGCATTTCCTCTTTTGGCGGCTGCATCGTATTGTTGGCTCACGTTTAGCCTGTTGGCCACAATGACTCCGAGATCTTTTCCTTGTTCAGTTCTGTGGAGCCACGTATTCCCCTTCTTGTATCGATGCCTTTGGTTTCTTTGTCCCAGGTGGAGGACTTGGCACTTGTCCTCACTGCATCTCATTCTGTTGCCTTGAGCCCAGTGTTCAAGTCGATGACGATCGCCCTGGATCCTCATCCTGTCTTCCAGGGTGTTTGCTATCCCGCCTTAAAGCACAGTTGAGCGCGGTAGAGCTGGGGATGGTTCGGATGCTGCTCACGGCATGAGAGCAGCCCGTGTCCCGATTGAGTTGCTTACATTTATTGCATTTCCACACAGCTCGGGAGGTGACACTTTCTGGGCGATTCACAACAATGAATCAACGAAAACAGGACAGTAAAAGCACTAATACGTTAAACCGCAGTATAAAGTTCCCATATGCAAATTGAAACAGCTTAAGCATTCCAATATGCAAAAATCTAAAGCAGTGCAACATCGAAAACACTTTCATTAAAAACAGGAGTTCATTAAAACAGCAGAGCTGTCCATCGTGTGCCATTAAATGCCTGGGAAGGGGGGGCAGCTTTGACCTGACACCCAGAGGAAGACAGTGTTGTGGCAGGTGGGCCTCAGCAGGGAAGCCCTTCTGGGGGGCTCTGGGGGGGCACCACTGGGAGCAGCCTGTTCCATTTTGACTTTTTCTGGGTCCCCCGTGGAGAGGGGGAGGCCTCGGGTGCCGATCGTGGGCCTGGCGATGTAGCCTGCCCCTCGGCTTAGAAAGCCAGGTGAGAAAGACGCCTGCATTAGAAATATGCTAATTCCAAAAGCCGGAGAATGTCGTCTGCTTGCTAGGCCAGCTCAGGACTCACGGCAAATGGGCGTACTTTTGGGAGCGCCGGACCCGCTCGGCGAGCCTGTGACGAGACACCACAGAAAGCGAGCCGGGGTGGAACGGGAGCAGGGCCCGATCTCCCCGACAGAGTGCCTGCCTAGTCGGAGGCTGGAGAAGATGCAGAGGAGAGTTCGCGGGTGCTCAGATCTGATGCGACGGTTTTGGCACCCCAGGAAGAAGAGGAGAGCAGGCAGGGACGGGTCCTTCCCTTTCGAAAACCGAAATGCAGCTGTCGCTTTTTAAAAAATGAAATGCAATCTTGTTTGTTTGGACGTGGCACATGGTCCACCCTTCGGAGCAGGTCGTGAAGCAGCCGCGTGTTCCCACCCTTGGCAACACGCAGGCGCAGGAGGGCACCGATCCTCTCTGCAGCTCTTCTGTAAGGCAGCGTGTCCACATGGGCAGCTGCGCGTGAGGTCAGCTGCCGGGCTGGCCTTCCACAAAACCCAACAACACAGGGAGAGAGATGGCCGACACTGGAGCGTAGTCGTTCTGCAAAGCAGTCTGGGTGCAGAAGCATCTCCTTGTCATTAGCGTGTCACCAGATGCTTTGAACTGGTTTGTATCAAAGCCACTCTTGTCACACCATGTTTGACGTGGGACTTAAACTGCCTTGGCTGGACATAACAGGGCTCACATCTCAGCTTCCTTCCTTCCTTCCTTCCTTCCTTCCTTCCTTCCTTCCTTCCTTCCTTCCTCCCCTTCTCTCACGTCCCCAGATACTCCGAGCGAAGCCTTACGAAGTGCATTGGAATTACGATAGAGACCAGGCCGGATTACTGCCTGAAGCGGCACCTGAGCGACATGCTCTCCTACGGATGCACCCGGCTGGAGATTGGTGTTCAGAGCGTCTACGAGGATGTTGCCAGGGATACGAACAGGTGAGCAGCCCTCCAGGGCTGGAGGGGCTGTGCAGGCCTTCCAGCCCAGTGTCGAAATCCCACTTCCCTTCCATGGAATCTCGAGGGGGCTGGCAGGCGAAGCCGGACAACCCTCCCGAGTGGGACCCAGCCGGTTTTAGCTCCAGGGGACTCACGGCCGGCGCAGAGTCTTGGGAGAGGTGCTGTGACCTTTTAGGATGGGAAGCCAGGAAAGTGCCGAATGACTGGAGCCGGGGGAAGTGGATAATGCGGTGCGTCTGTGAGAAGCCGTCTTGGGATGGCTGGGAAATGCCCGCCTTTCAGGGCCCTCTGCCACACAGTCGGTGCAGGCAGAATATAACCCTGGGCCAACCAACTGTGGCGGCTGGGTTAACTATTTGGTTTCATAAGTTCATGGCATTTCATTCCCGCCCAGCAGCCAAAGCTCTCCAGGCCACCCAACACGTTAAACTGATGGAAAAACCTAAAACGCCACCATGAAACTCCCCGGGGCACTTCGGGTGGGTCACAGACCCCCAGGCTGAGTGACTTTGCAAGGTGTTGTGAGGATAAAATGGGGAGGGGGAGAGCCACGCATCACACAGGGGCTCCTGGCGAGAGGAGAGAAGGCAGCGAGCAAAGGCAGCCGGCAGGAAAGTCAGTCCCACATGGCACGATCCGTGTTCCGTTCCCATTCGCTGCTGCAGGTTGTGTGGGGCCCCGGCGAGAGGGTCCTCCCAGGGGAGGGGAGGCCGGGGACTCGCCGCCAGCTGAGTCTAAGTTTAAGGCTGATTACGAGCTGAGACTTGCCAAGAATATCAAGAGCAACAAAAAGGGCTTCGATCAGCATGTAAATAGGAAGAGGAAGGGCAGACAAGCGGTGGGACCACCAAATAAGGAGGAAGGAGCTCAGGGAACCAAGGTTCAGTTGGGATGCGAGGAAGCACTTCCTGAGAGTCAGGACCCCGAGGGAGTGGAATGGGCTTCCAGGGAGGTGGTTGAGGCCCCATTGGTGTGGGTGTTCAAGGACAGGCTGGACGTGCATATGGTAGGCATGTTGTGAGCAGAGCCGGCTGGAGCTGGGGGTCAGACTAGATGGCCCAGGAGACCCCTTCTGACCCACTCTGTTTCTATGTTTCTATGAGTCAAGGTGGGGGGGGCAGATTTCGGCTTCCATTACGAGAAATGTGCTCAGAGGGAGCGCCCTCAGGAGGCGGGGTGCCCTCCTTTGCTAAACCTGATGACGTCATGGGCATTTCGCACATACAGGAGTCGCATCGCTGCATTTAGATAGTCAGCACATCGGGAATGTTTACTCATTCATACCACAAAACATCCAAAGCAACGCCTTAAAGAAGCAGCAGCGACCAGTCCCTGGAAAAATGCGTTGGCCTGGCTCTGGAGATGCCCTGCAGAGAGCCCCTGCAAACCCTCCGTGCCGCTGCAGCCCCTGCCCGCCAGCGCCTTCCGAAGGCCCTTGGGGTGCCAAAACAGGCGGGGGGGGTTCTCTTCTGGGAACGGAGCTGGGTGCGTTCCGGCTTCCGCTCATCAGCGTTTGATTTACCCCGGCCCATCCGAGTCTCACTGCCGTGAATGTCTGTGAGCGGCTGACGTGCAGCCTGCGGAAAACGGCCTCACGCCCTCTGCCCCCTCGCCTGCCCACCTGCGTCCGTACGGTCGACTCGCTGCTCACAACTGCTTGCTAACACAGGCAATATCACACAGTGCGTGTGAAATCCACGTCAAGCGCAGCAATGTCACAGGAGGGCGTACATAATAATAAGAATAGTAAAGATTATACAGAGCAGAGGTGAACCGGATTTGGGAAGGCAGCCCCCTCCTCTGCTGGTGGGGTGGGAGCTGCAGTCACAACAGATTGTGTGTGTGGGAGAGAGAGGGAGAATGAATCTTGGCTTAACGGCCCCCAGATCAGTGGCTGCAGGTGGCGACACACCAAAGCGTCCTTCACACCCCGCCGAGCTCCTTGCCGATGCTCCTTTGTCTTCTGTAAGGGCAATACTGGATGTCGGGACAGAAGGCAAGTGAGGGACGCTGTCCCGGGGGCATCCTGGGAGCGAGACGGTGCGTGTGCGTAGGAAAGGGGGCCGGAGGGGCGCTGGCGCCCCTGCAGCGCTAGAATTCCAGACCCTCGGCCGCAGGTGGTTTTGGCGGGTCCCGGGTGGTGGCCCCCACTTCTGCACCAGTATGGCGGACACCGTTGGCGCCTGTTCCAAGCTCGCCTGAAGGGCAGCGGAGAGGGCTCCGTCGCTTGGGGAAATGACAGTCTTTGGGGTATGAAGCTGGGTTCCTTGCTCGTTTTCTGCACACGATGGGAGGTTGGCGCCCCGGCTGCTCCGTTTTGCTGAGGTGCAGCATGGCTGGCGGAGATCTCCAAAGCCCCCACCGGAGACGGGGGGCCATGAGACCAGCCCTCCTGGTGTGGGGCAGATTGGTGCCTCGCCCTGCTTGGTGGGGGGCGCCCCCTTGGAAAACGCTGAAAAAGAGCCAGCCACAGAGAAGGGCCGTGCACGGCTGCTGGGGGGGGCTCATGGGGTTCGCCTCAATGGGGTATCTGGGCTAGGGCAGGGGCGCTGCACCCCTCCCCGTTTCTCCAGAGGGTCCCCCCTCCCCCAGCACGCCGATGTTGGTGCTTCCGCGTCTGGCCTTCTTCCCTCCAAAGGGCTGAAATGCCTCCCCAGAGGCAGCCAGAGCAATCAGCTGGCGTCCGCTGAGGTGTCGGCTCCTCCTCTTTCGCCTGTGAAAGGAACTAGACCCCAGCAGGAAGAGCTTCGACTAGAGGCTGTGCAGGGGATTACCGGGGAAACGCTTGTCCTGGAGAGCGTTCTCCCTCCTCTTGCTCCTTCATCGCCGAAGGCCTTTTGCCCGCTTCCATCTGAACTGCTCTCTCGGAGCATCCAAAATTCCACGCGGTCCCTTGGAGGCCGGATCCAGGCGGCGGCGGCAGAGGCAGAGAGCAGCGTGCCCCCCTCACTGCCCAGGCCTGCTCATGGGGCAAGAGGGCTCCCTCGGCGAGTGAGCGGGGGCACTTCCCTCGCTGGCTGCCTAGCATTCGTCCTCTCCGGCTCGGGCACGGCTGCCTCTCCCCTGCCCTGCTCCCGGGTCCCTCGAGCGGGAGGCGCTCTCACGCCCGCGTCCGCCTGCCCTGCCTGTGCGGCTCGGGGGGTCCTGGACGCAGGCCGCGGGGAGCCCCAGGTCAGCGCGGCGGGGCACAGCGCGGTGCCGCCTTCCTCCTCCACAAGTGCAGGGTTTCTCCACGTCCCCCTCCTGGGACAGGCGTGCTGAGTGCGGAGGCCCAACCCCCCCGGGGATCTGCTCTCTCCCCTGCACTCGGAGCCGCCTCCGTCCAGGGCCGGGATCGGGAAGGGAGCACCCTCCGAGGACACCCTGCGGGGGCAGGCGGCGCGTGGTCCCCCCTTGGTGTCCCCGTGCACGCCTCTCAGCGCCCTTTTCCTTCCCCAGGGGCCACACGGTGAAGGCCGTGTGTGAATCCTTCCACCTGGCCAAAGACGCGGGGTTCAAGGTGGTGACGCACATGATGCCCGACCTTCCCAATGTGGGCCTGGAGCGAGACGTGGACCAGTTCGTGGTAAGGTGGCCCTGGGGTGCGCCGGCTTCCGCGGGACGCTTTCTGGGGCGTTGCTCGTTCTGGTCCCTTGCCGTTTGCATTTCTGCCCCGGAGCCGTGCACAATGAAGCCTTCCCGGGCAGAGCTGGAGTTGGCACGGAGACGAATTGGAGGGTCCCTCTTGGGCAAGCTGGTTTTGGGAAGGGCTCCAGTGCAAGATCTCGCGGTTCTATCTTGCAACGCGCGGAGTGGATAAAAAAGAATGACTAACATTTAAAAAAATAAGTTGGAATTTTTATTTAAACCGGATTTTTAAATAAAAAGCTTTTGAGGAAAAAGTCTATCTAAGAGTAGTTTGCTACTTAAGATGCTTTCTAGTCCAAAGGTTATTCATCATGAAATAAGGATTGATTTTTAATTATGTGGCATGAGGCTGTATATTTTTTGGTAAATGAATGCCATTAATCCATTTACAATGTCATGCTCTACCAGGGGTTTCCGTAAGATTAGTGGGCAATTTTTCTACTTAGAAGATATTATCACAGATGCTTGGCTTTACAGTCCTCAAAACCATGAATATGTGTCTGCAGAGATCAGATGCCTCTTCGTCACAGGGAAAAAAAATGTTATAAATTAGCATACAGAGTTGAAAAAAAGGTCTTACGCCCATTGTTTCTTTGCACAGCTTTGCACACAGAACCAATCCCTTACCTCTTTAAGTTCTAAGTTTCAAAAAATCCAATGACTAGAAGAAGATTGTTGGGAGTGGAGCAGATCTGCACAAGAAGCCAGGTGTGAGGAGGGAGGGCCGAGCAGTAAAAAGAAAGCGAAGCCTTTTGAGCAGAAGATGCACAAGTCTCTGGGTCTTTTTGTGTCTGTGTCCTGAGGTTTATCATATTTTTCTTTCCCTGGAGGAGAAAACCTACAATGGCAGCAGGCCATAAAAGAGACCCAGTTTGGAAATATTTTAATGAAGTTCCTCTACCTACGGGTAAGGCTGGCATGTGCACATATGATGCAGAAAACTGTGATTTAAATCTAGCCTTAGTGACTAATTTTTTATTTTGTGATTTAAAGCCATTCGATTTAAATCAAATCCACCCTGGCTCCCTGCCTTCCCAACTTTCAGTGTTTCGTAGCTGTGGGGCTCCACAAATGCGTAAAAATATTCATGGTATATTTTTCCGTGACTGGTATGCCAGTACCAAGAAGAAAGTCTTGAACTTTTCTCGGCAGGGATGTTGCTGTGGTCACTTTCTAAGCCACCCAGTGGCCGAAGCGCTCTGGGTGGTTTGCGAGAGCTTTTAGTAGACCTTTGGCTGAGCAGTCGGTCAAACCACGGATCGGCATTTTTGGTTTGTTGTGACTGCTAAAAAGATCAGATGGAAGGTCCTAAAATTGCTCCTGTGAGCTCTGAGCAAGCTGAATTGATTTCATCGACTTGTGCAATCTCGTTTGTGTCTCTTCACTGGCATGGCCGTAAACATCTATGGTTACATGTGATAAATTCCAGTAATTGACAGTAAAATCACCAACTCATAAAGGCAAGCAAGCAAACCGAAGCAGAACATTCTTTAAGAACAGGCCAGACGTAACTTTAAAAGCCAAAGGGCTGCTGAACAGTACAGTTTCTCTGGCCACTATCTGAACTTCAAAAGGGAGGCCGTCTTCTTGGAAGTGGAAAAGGAGGTGGCATCCGTGAAGGTCTCCGATTCGCTGTGGGAGGCGGAGGGAGTAGGAGCCCTGCAGCTATTCTGGTCCCAAGCCACACGTCAAAAGCAGCACCTTGAAACGGGCTCAGAACCAGTGGGAAGCCAGTCCTTCTGGGTCCAAACCAGTGGCATCGCACAGCCTTCCTCAGCCTGGGGCACTCTCCGGATGCACTGGCAAGTCCCGGGGGCCAGGAATGAGGGGGGTTGCGCTCCAGGGGGTCTGGCAGGTACCTGCTTGGGGAAGCTACCATGTGGCTGCTGAGGGAGGGACACCACTGCGTTCTCGGCCTTTTATTAATGGCCACGAAGTGATCCAGCTTAGATTTGCAGAAGGGGAACGTGCGGGTCGGTGCACGGACGTCAGCTGGGCATGCCGGTCTCTCCTTTATGGAGCGTTCAGCCGCCCGGTCGTCTTCCCAGGATCCGAGCTCAGCGGCAGCTGCCCCTCCAGGCTGGGCTTCCCGTCGGTGGCTCGGCCAGGCACAAAGAGCCTCAGGAAGCTGCCGGAAGCCTGGTTGAGCAGGTCTGGTTGTCTGGCCGGAATTGGAGCCAAGTTGAGGCCAAGGCTGGAGAGAGGCAGCAGAGCGGTTGCAGGGAAGCAAGGAAGAGGTTTTGCACGACGCGGGTATTTCTCCCATGAACGCCGGTCCTCTGTCACTTACATTGGCTGCCAGTTGAAGTCCAGGCCCGATTCAAGGTGCTGGCGATGACCTGTAAAGCCCTAAACGGCTTGGGTCCTGGAAACCTGAAGGAGCGCCATCTCCCCTATGTGCCCGCCCACCCCTTGAGATCTGGGGCAGAGGCCCTCCTCCGGGAGCCCTCCTTGAAGGAGATTAAGTGGGAGAGTACCCGGAGGAGGGCCTTCTCTGCGGTGGCCCCCCGATTATGAAGTACGCTCCCCAGAGAGGTCCGCCTGGCGCCAACGCTTCTTTCCTTTTGGCGTCAGGTGAAACCCTGTTTATTCTCCCAGTATTTTAACTGCTAATTTGTTTTCATTGGTGGTTTTATGCTTAACATCGGATGCTGTGCAGCCCCCGCTCTTATTTCTATTTTTATTCTTTTCTGTTAATGGTGTTGTAAACCGTCCTGAGTTGTCTGTGATGGAACAGGATAGAAAAGTTTTAAATATGTACGCAAGTAAGTAATACTAACGGGGACCACTAGGCACCAGACAAAAGACTACCAGAAGGAGCACTTGCATACACACCCCGCGGTACCTGTTCAGGCTTCCCCAGCGGTTCGAGTGATCCAAGGACGGATGTCTTTGCTCACAGCTCGTTAGCAAGGCCCGGCCCCGGTGAGGGGGCCTCCAGGAAGGGCGCTAGCCCCCCAAGGCCAGGCGTTCCGGCCGCCCCTCACCGCCGGCAGGCGGGCGGCCAGGCCTCCATCCGGTCCTGCACTTGGCCGGCGCTGCAGAGGCACCGAGCGCACGGCTCGTCACGATGCTGGCAGATCGTAAATCTTCTAATAATAGACCGGTTGCTTGAATGCACCCCGCCTGGAGTAAAGCTCCATTTGCTTTATCATATCTCTCGGAGATAATGAGAATCTAAAGATAGAGCACCTCGATGATAATCTCTCTCTCCGGGATTGTCTCGCGGATCGATCGCTGCCTCGGTGATTTCCCTCCTGACGGGCCGCATGCACGGAGGCGGCTGCTTCGCGGCGCTTCCAGTACAGCCCGGCCCGCCGGCGCTTTCCGGGCGCGTTCCTCGGCGGGGGCCGGGCGGCCTTGGGGCCCGGCTTCCTCCCTCGGCCCCCGCTTGAGGCTTTGCTCCTTTCGGACGACACTCGGACCCATGGGCTCCGTGGCTGGGTTTGATTTCGCGTCTCCAGAGGGAGGAAGGGGGCTCATCCCGAGCACGGTGCAGACGGTTTCTAGGCCCACGAGTATTTTTTGAAGCGTTTGGTACAGCAGGACTGGTTTCAGCACAGCCGCAGGCTGCTTGGGCCTGCAATTCCATCCCCCACAGCTACCTTATCCAGTGGGAGGGGATGATGGGAGCTGTGCGCTAGAGGGCCACAAATTGCTGCCGCAGGAGCCCTTTCCCTTCTGCTGTTCCTTGTTCTCGCGCGCTCTCGCCCCTTCCAGCTTCAGCGATGCTTTCCCAGTGAGGTCAAGCGGTTCAGAAAAGACTCGTCATTTGGTCCGTCACCCTCCCCTTGCTAGGTCTGTTTTAACAGGCAATCAATGTAAATCGTTAACAATGCGCTTTCACATGTCGGTTTTGGATCCAGACTTAATTTCAGAATACAATTTTAAAATCGTTTAAAACAAGCCTGCTGTAACATTTTTAGTGGTCCAAAAGCTCAAGGCTGAATGATTGGAGCAAATGTCCGCAACTCCAGGGAGGAATCCCAATGGGAAGGGCTGTGCCAAGGCCGCAAGCTGGTCTCATGGGGGTCCACGAATTGAGAAATGCAGAGTGAGCAAGCCGCGGCGGCGGGGGGACTAGCTGCTCTTTAAACGAACCATCGTGTTAGCCGACAGGCTGCCGGTCGCCTATGATGAGCAAGAAGTTGCGTACTGGCGATCAGGCAATAAACCGAAAGAGAGCTGGCTTGTCCACAGGCCTGCTGAAGTGCGGCTCCTGCACAGCCCCTCTTGCAAGGACCCGCTCTAAATATTCATCCCAGATGTGTCGCTTCTGTTTATACACACAGCTATTCATGGAAATGCTGTCATGTTTTGCAACGATAAAACAAACGGCAATCCCGAGAAAGTCAACCAAACACGAGCAGCATTGATACTAACACACACCAAAGATCCTAAAGCCAAGCTGTTGGCGCCATCCAGAAGGCTTCTTGCCAGCCTCCAGAACATTAATGAGACAGGCGCTCTGTGATTCTCCCTAGGAAGGCGGGGCTGTGCTAAGAAATCAGAGCAGCTGCAGCTCCTCTCTGAAATGCAGCCAGAGTGACACCACAACCGGAAGGTATCACAACGGCCAGTGGATAAAATAATTAGAGTCTCTGTGGGAAGGCGGCTACCTGCCTGGCATTCTTGCAGTGTGGGAGGGAGAGAGAAGGGGGTCTCTGCTAAATGCCTTCCCACCCTCACTCCGCAGTATTTCGTGCGTCTCTGGATACGTCCCTTCCTCCACCCCCTTTGCCTTTTTTCCGAGCCGGACCGTGCCGGACGTGGCCCGCTCGCCCAGATTTCTCAGGTTCCCCTTCCTGCCGTTTTCGGACTTGGCTGAGGCGGATCGGGTAGAGGGGGGGTTTGCTCAGCTGCGTAAGCTCTGCAGAACGGAGCTCTAGAAAAGCCCCCTTGAGGTCCCCACAGGAAGGAAAGAGCTGAGATGGAAGT